CAGGGCCTAAGAGAAATACTCAAGAATATGTGATAATTGGTCTTGGAACAGAAATGGTTTATAGATTGGCTGACTAATGTACGTAATGAGACACCAAATATAAATTTTCAGAGAAATAGATTCATATTGGATTGGATTCTCTATTAGGGCCAGCACTCTCTGCCGCATGACATTGAGCTATCTGAGGGATGAAATTCCATATATTGGTAAATCCGTTCTTTTTGCTGCACATTGAATACTATACATTTTTCTGTAGAATTACAATTGTAGAGATGTGGGGCTCTCTGTTTCTTGCAAACTATACCTTCAGTTGAAACGCTACAGGCAGTGAGATCCATTTGGCAAATTTCTAGCTAGTTGTGTCCTGATTTTGTCTTGTTTCTCTTCAAATTCTGAAACTTGTGAAGTGATTTCATTTCTAAAACTAGTTATAATTAAAATTCCTGATCAATTTATTTTGCAAATTAAGGAAGCTCAAACAAATGCTTAAGCAGTTGCTGTCTTGCTGATGAGATCCCCATGATCAGAATCACTCCATTTCTCCATCCATATAGAAGCAGGCCACGTGTCTTATCATATTATTAAACTGTGACAATGTTATGACCCTTTTTACCTATTAAAAGGAAAACTAAACACGTGACATGATACGTACAAATGTGAAAAAGATGACAACATTTTTCAACAAACAAGAACTGAGATGATTTATATACTCAAAGTCGAACTGAACATTTCTTGATCTGCAAATAGAGTCATTCAATTGAAATTAGACGATGGATCAATGAATTGCCAATGTTAACTGTGGAACTCAAGCAACGTATGAGGAGGATCTACGCTTTAATTCCCCCCACTTAGTTCATCTCCTCATTTGTATATTGACGAGAAATTTTGGTAAATATTACAGACCAGTGACCGGAGAGATGGTTATTGTATATATGTTATTGATTGACACAAGATATATTATAAGGTGGGCCTCAGCCAGACAGAGCATGCAATCGATGTATATTTCTTGTTTGATGCACAGATTTATTCTGTCCAATTAATTCCAAACCTGATTCGATGTGGCTTGATGAATTGATATATTGTTTGATGCACTTGATGACCTCATTTTTGCCACTTATTGCTTTCTTTTTCTATTATTATTATTATTATATATATATTTTGGTGGGCCTGCGGTCTACCCTGGATTTCCTTCCTATTTTTTATTTGGACTATCGACCACAAAAATGTCGAAAAGATGACAGAGAGATGTCAACATTCTCTTTGCTTGTTTGACCAACTCTTTCTTTTACAACCTAACGCCCAAGGACTATAGTATAGGGCTGTATTATGTGGGTGGGAGAAGAAGGAAGGAGGAAGAGGAAGAATTCATCTCTGCAAAGGCTAACTTTCCATTAGTTTCTAATGCCAAGGCATCATTTGTTGGAGAAGAGAATGGATGACAGTTGCAGCATTTGGCTTATGGAGAACGGTTTGAACTGAAAAATCTTTTCTTTTCTTCTTCTTTTATGGACTCTTTGCATTTACACTGCTTCTATATATTCTCTATTTATTTATGCATTTATTTGTCTAAATTCTCCCTTAATCACATCATGAATGAGCAATCTGATTGCTGAACCTTCCCCCTGCCGCCGGTCGGGCGTGTCAACGTTGGAAGTGGGGAAAGGGAGGGAGGCTTTGGGGAGCTAGCAGAGATATAAAAGCTACTACCTTACCACAATAAGTAACAAATTTCTGTTCGGCTTGCAGATTTTACGGAGGAACTAGCTAGCAGTGTCCTTCAAACAGTTGAAAACAAAATAAGATCTATTTGGTTTGGGTTACGTACATCTAACGATTCAGAAAGCACAGAAAGAGAGAGAGAGAGAAAAAAAGTTGTATAATAATTAATAACTAGGGTTTATATAAAACTTCATAGCGTTCACTGTGGTTTTCGAATATCAATTATATATCTCCCCTCACTTAAATCTAGCTTACCTCCCTATATCTTAAAAGAAGTTGTCAAATTTAGGTAATTAGACCGACATATTACTAAACTTTGAAAAGTAATTATATAACTGTATCACACCCCTAAATTTTAGGTATAGGCTAATACCTGGGAATTGGCAAAGCAGAGTCATCTTCACGGATTAGTATGGATATTTGATTGAATGAGTAAAATAGGTGCTTGAGGAACTATCTATTCCAAAATTCGCAAGATAATATGTCACACAATTAGCCTCTCTATAGATATGATTAAAAGAAATCCTAAGCCAGGCTGCCAACCGGCAAATTTCTTGAACTTGGTAATACACACACACACACCAAGGAGTCATCAAACCTAAATTTAGGAAGTTCACTAAGACCATGTAATTACTGTCAGCCAAAATATTATTCAAATTGAAATTTGAGCATAATTGAAGACCATCTAGAAAAAGCTTTAACTTTCACTTTCCAAGAAGATACAATGCTCATAGAAACAAGAGAAGCCAGCAATGAAATTTCTTTTGCAATCTCTAATGACCCCACCACCCCCACCCAAACCCAAACCCAAACCCGGCATATTTTTGTGGTGGAGGTTTCCAAATTATCCATTTTATACATCTTGAATGGACATTTTTAACAGGAATTTGAAGACAAATGGCGCAAGAGGTGTTATGATTAGCAACACTAGGCCATGGTGCCATATTATTTAGTTGACTATGAATAAAATGTTGGTGTGTTTTTGTGGATTTATTCGTATACCTATCTGTACATTTGATTTGCTCATGTATGTATTTATGTAATTACAAGAAAGTCTCAATAACCAAGTTGCCATGGTGAACTTAATTGGCCAAGTTTCTCCTCTTGGATACCTAACCCTACAATACAAATACATACAAACATAAACTGAGCCATAGTAATAAAACAACACCATCATTTCATATCATATATACTCGATACATGAGAAAAATGCAAAATGCACTTTTATGTATGCACATTGTTTTCTAAAGCTTACACGTGTTGAGGACAGGTGGTACTGAATTAAGATGATGTGCCGAGGGTTGTTTGTTACTAGCAAATCCAGACTCATCTAACCTGGGTTTGCTTCCATTTGCAGTCATCAGACCCACCCATCCTGCTTAATGATAAACGCTCAATGAGACTCCTTTAACACAAATAAAAACTCATGTGGTGTTTACAATATATACTTCTCTCATGCAACACTAACGTTATTAGAGGTGGAATTCTGTTGGACACTTGCAGCCAGCTACTTGACATTCTTTGAGTGTACATGTATGTACTGTGTTGTGTATACGGGATAGCCCGTCCTGTCCATCATGTATACCCACAAATCCCAACCTGGGTGAATGCGGAAATCAATCTGAAGTCTGCATTATAACCACTCAGAGACAGAGTCAGTTTGATCACACTCTTTGTATTGAATTTAATTATATGAGATCTGGTATATGCAACGTTATTCAATTTATAAGTTATGATACATACCCCTTTGGGATTATCTGATGCTGACAGTAATTAAAAAAAAAAATACATAGTTGCAAGTTTTAAAAAGAAAAATAAAAAAAAAAAAAAACCTCCAACTTTAGCATAAGGGTTAAAGGCCGGGTACTTTGAAAGTTGAGGCCTTTCTAGACCCAGATGCCGGTCCATATAAAAAACTGGCTTTCATTAGTTATGGAGGAAATCGTCCATAAAGGGAAAAGATAAACTAGAAGTTACTGCATTTTCTCTGACACTTTCTGGCAATTGCAAGCATTAAGGTTATGTTTGGTTTGAAGGAAAAGGTAGAGAAAGGAAGGGACCTTTTCCTTCAAACCAAACACATCCTAAGGAAACGAGTTAATGAGATTGTAGGTTGGCTAGAATGTAATAATCTTATTCAATCTCTCGAACTTATAGTGACGCTACCTTAATTAATAGGATCATTATATTATTATTAATATTATTGTGTTGTTGTTGTTAATAAGGATGATTTAAAGCAAAATTACCTTAACACTACATTTGTAATACCTTTAAGTAGTGTTAAATACAGTTGAGGTGAAATTAATTTCTGAATTTCTTAAAGTTATTTAGCTCAGCTTTCATGATCAGCATATATTAATTCTACTAGTGGTTTGGTTTAGATGACGAATGCATGAATTGAAGTAATGATTAAGAAAAAGAAAGAAAGCAATTAAGATGAAATGGTTTTTTATTTAATTTAATGTTACTTTCAAAGGCCCAATAAATATATATATATATATATATATATATATATATATATTGAATGGAGTTTCACAAGGATATTTGCATTGCCACATCCATCCATAGCCTCTAGTTCCTTCAGCGAAAAATGACCATAAATCTGTCCCATACTGGAAGGAGGAAGGAATAAATGGAGGTGTGTTTGATCCCACAACCACCACCAGAAACATGGATGTGGATAGAACCTTATCTCTTTCAACCAACCCAAATTTTGGCGTCGCCATGTTATGCTGCATTATTTCTTAATTAATTTTGCCCTCCTCCATCCATCCATCAGTCATTACTGCCGTCGATACACTCATCGACCATGCTAGCTATAATGTAATTAGGACCAATCCCGTCGCCCATCGCCTGACGTGTTATTATCAGGGCCGGTGGATGCATGCATTTATTAGTGTTTCTGAGACTAAGATGAGAAGCTGCAGGTTGAGGTGATATATATAGTACCCATTTAACCCAGGGGTTGTGTTGTGTGGATGGTAGATATCAATATATGGGTCATAGGATTTAGGAAATTAAGAAGCAATGTACACGCGGCGACTATCCGCATGGGGTTGCATGGATATAAACAATATAACATAAAAAACGAAAATGTAGATTGAAATGTAGTTAGCTAAGGTGAATGAGATGAGTGAAGAGTGAAGAGGCTGAGGCTCAGCCATTCATCTCCAACATTCAATCCTCATCTTGAGGGTTGAAGCTCTCATTTACTAAGCTTTCCTTTTCATTATCTTCTTGGAACTGGTATAAACTGTGTCACCACTTTGATCCCGTGCACAATGTCGACCTCTTCGATAAACGGGTGCCTTACCTCCCTTTCTCTTGCCAACTCCCCCGTCAAGAGAATCACACTTGCCCCTTCCATCTCCTGCAGGCTCAATCCTTCTTCTCCTTCTCCTCCTCCTCCTCCCCCTACCCTTATTAGAAACGAGCCTGTTTTTGCTGCCCCAGCTCCCATCATTACTCCTATTTTGGTATTTTACTCTCTCTCTCTCTCTCGAGTTCACAAGTAAAATATATGATTTAAACAAATTGCATTCTTGTTGGTCTGCACCACTTGTTTAATATTAGTGTTATTTATTCATTTGTTTATTTAATTAGTATTTTTTTATTCATTTTATAATTAACATCTGTTTTCCCTTCTCTGGGCTTTGGTAGACGGGCCCAAGCCTGGCCTATTGTCCAACTCTCAAATGTTAGCAATATTGCAATCACGAGGTTCAATATAACCTCGGAAACTACAATTGATACCGACGACCATTCTGTCATTAGTTCAACATTTGGCAACAAATGAATTATATGTAGTTTTAAGGCCAATGCCATTTGTTATCTAGGACATCCTTTGCCATGTGGAGGGATGTATGCCCAATCAAAACCATTCATTTGAAGCTCATGAAGTCACGACATAATTATATCTTACCACGTCACGTCACTTATGTTCATAGAATATGTTGCCAAGTCAGTTATGTTTCTAGACATTCTCTTTTTCTTTTATTTCTTTTATATTTTTATAACTTAATAGAAAGGATTCTTCCTTTTTTTTTCTTTTCGTTTTGTTTTTCGAGTCTTTAATTTTATGAGAAAAGGGGACTCTACTTTTCAGTTCCTTCTTAAGATAATTACTCGGAGAATAATATATACTTTACATCATATTTTTCTTTTTTTATCAAGAGAATGTAAGAAAAAGCAACATTTCATTTTCTTGTGGACTCAAACTGTTTTTGTTTGTCACCTTGTGTGTCCACACCAGCTTAGGGAGGAGAACCCTTGAGACCACCATGGCTGGAAAATTAACAAAGTGTATGATGTTCTGTTGCATGAGGAACCCCTCTGTAAGATTTCTTACGATGAAAATCGACCACTGGAACTTGCCAAAACCTTTGTTTCTTTCGTGTATGTGTGCTTATTTTTTTATTTTTGAAACAAACGATCATGTTTCGAATGAGACATGATTTGAACTAGTTTTAATATTTAAGGCTCAGTTTGAAAAGAGTACAAATATAAATACATATGAAACGACACAAAATACAAGATTTTACACTCTACATATTTGTATTTATACTCCTTCCAAATTGAGCCTAATTTTCATGAATGTATGTGAGATTATTAGTTTGAATTCATAAGATTGTCCAATCCGCGTTGCTTTAAGGAGCTTAGTTAGTGCATTATTTGATTTTGAGATTAATTAGCAGCATTCACTCTTCATTAATTGTTTATTTTGTCTTTGGCTAAAAACTTGTGCTGCTCCTCTTATACTATACATAGAGAATAACAGAAGGCATCTAGAAGAAGAAAAGAAAGTAAATCCAAAAGGAAAAAGGAAAAAAGAAAGAAAGAAAGAAAGAGTATTTACACGCTGTATTTTTATTTTATTTTTTTTTAAAAGAAAAAAAAGAAACAATTAGAAATGATTGAAATAACATTTATCTTTATCTATCTATACTATTATAAAGCTGATTATATAATGTCAACTAATATCTTTATCATTTAATTACTTGCGCATGTACCCTTAGTATACTAATACCAGATATTTATCTTAAATTTTATATAATTCATAAATACCACACCATATATAATATATGATTAATATTTATATTTTATGGCAAATGCTCTCTAATATTAGTGTCATGAGTGAAAATAAGGTATCACCTTTTAAAATTATATTTAAGCTCAGTTTGGAAGGAATATAGATTTATATAAAATAATATAAAACACAGTTTTGCATTCTACAAGTTTGTATTTATGCTCCTTCCAAACTGAGCCTTAAGAGTAGACATAGATCAAAAAATTTGATGGTACCATTCACAAGAGACTTTCTGTATCGTGGGATATCAGGAAAGGGTCAAACCAGTTCCTCCCTCTTTTTTTTTTTATGGGATTTGGTAGGTTGTTTTATTGCACTTAGCAGTTAGTAGTTAGTACATATATTTCAGAAGTCGTTAACCAAGGTGGTCAACTTCTGGACGGGCCTTAACCATTAAAAATTTTTAGTTTGACGAGGTCTAGAGTCTCTGGTTCTAGATCATCGGCCCACCTGACGCCTTATCTGACTGTTCGTCTGTTCTTTTTTATTTATTATTTATAAATATATTATATATTTTTTTTGAGAATGAAAGATGCCTGCCGTTGATTCCGATCTTGTGTCTGAGTGCGTAGCGTAACCAATCGGCCATCAGATCAGAATAACCGCGAGTTGCATGGATGCAATTTCCAGACGGTCCCGCCATTTTTTATTTTTTTATTTTCAAAAACAGCAAAGCGAAAAAAAAGTAGGGAAAAGTAGGAAAACACACGATGCAGAATTCTGAATTTCAGCCCCCCCTACAATTAGCCCTTTTCCCTTATAAACCACATCCTGCCGTGAATTTGACATCAATTCACGGTCAGGATGCATTGCCCCTGTACTTTGGGCCTAGTAAAATCTGATCTGGGCTGATTGGTACTTCTCCCAAAATAGTAACCGTTCTTTTTGGGGCTCTAATTTTCAATTACAGTATAAATAAAGAGTATCGCCCTGTGGGCTGTGGGGGAGAGGTGTCTGGTTTGTGTGTGTATCTACCGCTTGTCGGATAACCAGTGATTAGGTGACAAAAGAATCTATTGCGAATTCACAACAAGAATATCCCTCCAATAGAAGGTCCAAAGCACGGAGTTTTGGGATATCAAAGTATTGATTTCTTCAACTCTTTCTCCCAACTTACTCGATTTTAGTTTAGTTTTCTTTTTCTAACTTATTTCGAGAATTCGTTGTTCTTTCTAGCTCCATGAAATCTGCATCTTTGTTTCTCGATATTGGAGATGATTTCTCAAATTTTCAGGCTTTTCTTCGGAATTATTAAGAGAAACTTAGAACTATTTTGATGAATGAACTATTTCAGGGTGATTCAGGGGGTAACATGCTATCATTTGTCGTCTTCCCATGTAGTTTCTGATCGTCTGTTTCTTTCTACTCTTCGTTTTTACCTTCAGAGTTCTCAAGATACCTAAAATCCTGTATCATTTTGTTTTCAAGCATTCCTAAGAAAGTTCTTCTTTTACCTTTAAGGAATTAAAGCAACGTTTTAGAACCGTTGCCGATCGATCTAAGCTCCCAGTAATTATAGGTAGATTAGAAAAAAAGAGGCTTGAATCGTCGAGATCGAGCCACTTCATTTTAATCTGATGAGAACTAATCCGGAATTTCGGCTTTCTTATTCGCCGTAAACAAGCTTAAACTCCATATTTTGATCATAAAATATGATTTGGCAAGGAACTAAAATTTAGTGATGCGGAGAAAGATTATTATAATTCTATAGGTCTGTCAAACTGATTTTTGTTCTATAATATCTGTTTTTCTCTAATGTATGGGTCAATAAAACTGCAGAGAGAAGAAATGGGGAAGGATTCATACGAGGAAGCAATTGCAGGATTACAGCAGCTTCTCAGGTACCCTCTTTTTTTTTTTTTTTTTTGTCTGCAAACCTACCTCTACCTGTGTCTTGCGCCTTGTCTCACCGATATCTCGTGCAGCGCGTTCTCAACTTCTCATCATCTCTGGTCTCTGCGTTGCGTTTGACGCCTAGACGGTTGGAGAAGAGTAATAACTAATCAGTGGATGGATAGACCCAAAACCGGATGTTTATTTTGGCCTCTCCTTTTCTTATAAATCACTTGCCTAATGCCTACCGAGTACCCACGGCCACGGGCCACGGGTGTCCGACTCCGAGTGGGAGTGAACGTCAGCCGTTCGTATTAGGCCGCATTTTGAGGGTTTTTTTTTTTCTGAATACTTATTTTATTAAATTGTAACACTCGAATAAGTGTTTTGGTACATTTTGGAATGGATGGATGCAGGGAGAAGGGAGACCTGGAAGCAGTTGCGGCGGCGAAGATAGAGCAAATAACAGCGGAGTTGCAAGGGGCGGTGGTCGATGGGAAAGTGTTTGATCCGGTGGAGCGGATGAAACACGGCTTCGTCCACTTCAAGACTGAGAAATTCCAGTATGTGGTTGCGCTCACACTCTCCTTAATTACTCCTAACCTGTAACAATAGATACTGGTCCAACCAATAATATACCACGTCATCACATTTTTTATTTTTATACAACTGGCGTGGTGTATTATGATTGGTTCACTCTTGCTGGAACAGCTGCAAGATTTTGACAATCATTTATCGGCAGGTTTGATGATGATTGATGACAACGAATTCACCAAAATCAAATTAAAAAAGATGTTAACAAATGAAGTTATTTAATAATTGTAGTTCACTGACACTCCGTGGTTGACCAGTGTTGTGTTGTTTAATATATAAAATACAGGAAGAGTCCTGCATTGTTCGGGGAACTAGCCAAAGGGCAGAGCCCAAAGGTACAGTGCTTATGCTTCCTTCTATTGATTTAGATTTTAGAGCATCATTGTACTCTTTTAACACGAACAGCTTGTCCACGGACCACGGTAATACAAATACGGTTAAGAAATTAAGTGCGACTGTCATAAAATAAATAAATAAATAAATAAAGACAGCAGCGTCGCAGTAAATTAAGTGCGACTGTCAATGTGGGGAAGGTCCAAATTTTTTATGAGAAAGGAGCGTGCCCTCCTTTATAAAGGGTCATGGTGAACTCAAGGAGATGGGATTGGGAAGGGTTTGAGTCACTTCATATTAATATATCCTTTTTACTACTACTACTACTATTATGATGGCCAGAATGAAGAACTTGAACCTGCTGATCACAATATATTATTGGCCAAGTTCACCCAGCTACACATTGAGCACATTTCTTGTATTTTATAGGGTGAACATGATCAACAATGTGTTGTGGTCGGTAGATGTCAGCTCTATAATGGAATCCCAGTCACAATGCATTCATGTAATTGACCCAACCCTTCATTATAAAGGGTGAAGCTATGATGCTCCAAAGGTCTGATACCGGAAAAGCCCATTATAAATTGTTTAATATATAGGGCCAAACCAAAGTGTTTTGCAAGGTCTTCAGTAATTAATGATGATGGATGTTGGATGATGCCATGATGGTGATTTTTCTATACTATTGATTATTGTGATCTTAATATAGTTGTATTTAGAGGTAATCATGGGCCGGGCCGAATTTGGGTATATGAATTTCAATATAAATTGGCATTGTTATTATATAATATAATCAATATCTACATGGATATAAATTGTGGGCTGTGTCTAAAGCATTGGGCCCAGGCCCACCCTAAAATTTTCTAGTAAAGGCCTCGGCTTGTTGTATTGTAATAATGCCATGGCCCATGGGCTTATCTAATTGTATAACCTTGGGAAAACCTTACTTTTAGGCTTTGTATTTTGGGGTTTAAAAGTATTTTGACTTTAATTATGGTACCACAGCCCAAAACTGAAAGGCAGGAACTAATCGGCTTGTTTATGAAATGATAATCCCTAGTTAGGTGTTTGCTGGCACTTACCGTAGCTTATCCAAAGTTACAGATGCTTATTGACAAGAGGTGCAAGTGGAGTTGCCCCGAGATGAAGAATTTCAACTCGAGTTCGGGGTTGGGCTCTGGTTCATTCAAAACTCGACAAATGTTCAACCCAATCTGATTCAATTTGCATCCTAATTATTTATTAGATTAAAGTAGAGTAGAATAGAAAGAGGCAACACATGTGAATTTTGATATTAAGTTGAATCGACATATATTGACTTGTTCTTGTTTTGTTTTTGGTGGGGTAAATAAATGATTAATAATATGCAGTTTATGGTGTTTGCGTGCTCGGACTCTCGAGTCTGCCCGTCGCATATCCTAAATCTCCAGCCGGGAGAGGCTTTTATGGTCCGTAACATCGCTAACATGGTTCCCGCATATGATCAGGTGATTTTTCCATTCTCTATTCTCTATACAGCACCCCCTCCTCGCTAACTAATTACTTTTTAATTAACGATTTTTTTTTATTTTTTTATTCCGGATGGATTCGATCTATCCATGTTGCATATTGAATCTAGCTTTAATTTTAATTTATAGAAAATTACTTTTATTTTTATTATTTAATGAAATGGAAGTTTATGTGTGTGTATGTGGGGTGCAGACCAGGTACTCGGGAGTTGGGGCGGCCATCGAATATGCCGTATTGCACCTCAAGGTAAATATCCTTGGATGAATCGTTTTCCTTGTCCCCATTATACACTCATCCTCTACTTTTTCTTTCACTAATATGGCCTTTCCCAACACGAAGGTTGTAGGAGTGGAAATGACGAATGATTCAAAGTTTGTGGTATGGTTGTTGCTTTAGGTCCCCACAAGGCCACAACCACCCCCTCCCGACTCCAATTGTCCCCCATGGAATTGCTATTTGCTAGCCACCACTCATCACTCGTGCCTCTTTCTCCACCATTACATATACCTAACCCCTCAAAATGACATTCTCTTGCCAAAGTGCCAACCACCCACCAAGTGTGGAAGAAGGACATAACATGTACCCCAAACTCCGACTTAAAATATTAAGGAACCACACACAACAAGTCCAACCTAACCTATAGCCTAAAGAACAGGTGGCTAAGCACGGGTAGATATGACAACACATTAACAAGGAGATTATAGGGTAATGTTTTTTGGTGGGGGCAGTTTCTTACAAGGACGTATGACTTACTTGGAATCAATCTTTACCAAATCTTTAATATGAATATGACTTTGCTTTACTACCCCCGTCTTACATGTACTGTAGCTCATCCTATGTTTATCAAATCTTTAATACGAGTATGTATGATTTTGCGTAAACTCAACAGGTGCAAAACATCGTGGTCGTTGGGCACAGCTGTTGTGGTGGGATAAAGGGGCTCATGTCTATCCCCGACGACGGCTCCACCTCCACGTACGTCCTCTCTGTCTCAATCTCAACCCTCCCCTCTCCTCTTATTACCATCCTCTCTACAGTATTAATTCCATTCTCCACTGCTTAACTTTATCTTGGGTATATTCTGGCTGGCATCTATTGCATTCCACAATATTGTTGTCAAGACTCCAAGACTCAAGAATGGTCCTTTCACCATTTTAATAATATTATTATTATTATTAATTTATTATTTTGGGAATCTTCCAAAAGTTATAGTTTTATATCCTTATCATCCTTCATGCATGTTTCGCATGCATCTCACCTTTATTCTTTATTAAGTAGTATGTATGTATGTATGTATGTATAATATACCCAACTTTTTTTAATGTTCACACCTTTTCCACCATAGATGCGTAGGGGATTCGCTAATTGGTTTGATTGCACCTTCTCGTGGCATGAGTAACAAATTTCGTGAAACGAATTGAATCAAATTTGTTAATAATCGTTTTTCTTGTTTATTATTCCTTGAAATTTACCATTGCTGGCTCCCTGTCTGTTGTAACCTGTATCGTTTCTTGAAAATAATTAAATAAATTAAAAGGATAAAATTATTTACTATTTGTTATCATCTCTAGTGACTTCATCGAAGATTGGGTGAAAATATGTTTGCCTGCCAAGCACAAGGTGAATGCTGAATACAGTAGTTTGCCGTTCCCTGATCAATGCTCCCAATGTGAAAAGGTAATTAGTTCCGTCTTATTTGATTTTCCTTTCCTTTTAATGACTACAAAACACAATATATAATTGCACTCACATGACAGTCCACATTCAAAAGTTCAATTTTTTTTTTTCAAATAATTAATGTCAAATTTCTAGGATCGATCATGTCAATGTCAATGACGGTTCAAATGTGCAAGGGGGGACCCTTCCCACCTTCAATAATTGTGATCTATATTGAATCTTTTTTTTTTTTTGTCCCACTGTAAATGTAAATGCAGGAAGCGGTGAATGTATCCCTGGGAAACCTACTAACTTATCCGTTTGTGAGAGAAGGATTGGTGAAGAAAACTCTGGCACTTAAGGGCGGATACTACGATTTTGTTAACGGAACTTTTGAGCTTTGGGGGCTCGACTTCGGCCTCACACCTTCTCTCTCTGTATGATCATCCACCACAGTCAGTCAATGATCCCTTCCATCTCTTGTTTCTTAATATGTATCGTGTATGAGTAGCTTTCATCATGGCCGAATATAAAATAAATAAATTTAAAAAAAATAATAATAATATTGGTAGCCAAGAGGGGCATCTTGAATTCTTGTGTGTTGATTTATCAAGCTTCAAATAAAAGAAATTGATATGCCGTTTGCGTTCTCTTCTTTTAGGTAAGAGAAGTGGCTTCGATACTGCACTGGAAGCTCTAGAGACTCTGCTTTTATCTCTTTTATCTCCCCCACTGAGAGGTGATGGAAACTGGAAAGAGCCATAACAACAACATCACCATCACCTCACAACGATCAAGCCTCTTTCTTTCTTCTTATTGAACTTAAATTAAATTGGGGTCTGTAGATCATAAAAACCCTTATTCCAAAAGTTAGAATGCAACTTCTTTATCGTTTAGCCCAATGCGCAAAATTCTTATACCTATTCTTTCTAGCTTCCAAAGCAAACAGTAGAAAGGATGATACAGACGGTACACTTCGACGCTATTTCTTTCTGGACGAGTTAAAACTGCAAGTTTTATGAACTCGAATGGGATAAGCTCAAGTTAAAATAAATAAACTTGGGTTCTGGCATTTCACCAAGAAATAGAGATTCGGCATAAGACAAATGTATCAATTCAAAAGGTTGGATGTATTTGACTTCAATGTGTTAGGTATAGAGTCGGTCACAGACTCACAGAGGGTCGTCAAATCTGCCGGCTAATATATTAGCCTCTAATATATTATATGTGCCTAACATTACCTTAATTAATTAACCATCTTCTGAAATCTAACGACTTAAGTAATTCTGTACCACCTACCATACATATCCACATAAAAGGGAAAAGGAAAGGATAAGAATTTGATGAAACAGAGCATATTTTGGTCGGGAGTCGGGACACGGGACAATGCATATACATGGGTCTCGGCCACATTTCTCATATTCAGCGAATCAAGATAACCGCCGAATGGGGCGCTTTCTGAGTTTTTTTTTTTTTTTTTTATTAATCTATCTAATTCTAAGGGTTTGTAACTACACCAAAAATCCCTCCGACCAAATGGCACCTTTGCTCCATGTTAATAGTTGGTCACTGCTGGCTACTAAAGGAGATATTATAGCATTTAAGCTGGGGTCCTTCACCATGTACGAAATATTCCAAAGGCAAGAAAATTAATTACAAACTTACAAAATTGAACCTTGTCATAATGTATTACAAGACCAAATATATTCTTAGATTAGGACAACAAACAAATAACATTTACATAGGAACTAACCTGCCGATGACGCAGCAGGAAAATTTAATTATTTTTTGTTCTCACCCTAGAGTCGCATGTGTATTATGAGACAGTGACACAAATAAATAAATGGAACTTATTTAAATTTCAATTTGATCCATTAGCATTTGGATTTGAATCCAATCTAATCCATCCGATTCAGATCAACTTTAAATATCGTATATTTATTATATTAAAATAAAACGCGATCATATATTATAATTATTAAAAGAATAAACTAGTTTAAGACCATCGGCTTGTAAAAAGACCACAATTAAACACGGCCAGCCTAGTATCAACCCGAACAGATCAAACATACCAAGCCATTTGATTGGTGATTTACACCGACTTAGTATTAGAATATTCTAGAAAATTTATTAAGGCTGCGTTTATTTTAAGTGTAAATTCAGTTTTACATCCATGGGAAATGTGAACCGGTTTAGTTGTCAATGGAAATTGAGACTGATAGATTTTGAAAATGTACACCAATTTTGTTTGGTTGTCAAGGTGTAACTTCTGTAAAAATTTACACAGAGGATGAGGGAAGCAGAGGAAGAAGAATAAGAAAAAGGAGGAGGAGAAGAGAGAAAGAGAGAGAACGAAAGAGAGACAGATGGTGAGAGAAAGGTCGGAGGTGGGTTCAGATCTGTCGCTTCAACTGGTTGCAGTGGCAGTGATGGAACAAAGAAAGAAAAAAAAAAGGGGGGAAGAAGAAGAAGAAGAGAGAGAGAGAGAGAGAAATTGCCAGTGCCACTGTCGCCCTAGGTTCAGATTTTTCGTTGCAACTAGGGATGACAATTTCCCCGTAAAACCGGTGTCCCGCCCCACCCCAAACGGGGCGGGTTTTCCCAGACCCTAAACAAGGACAGGGCGGGGACGGGGAAAATAATTTTTCCCCGAACCAGGTACGAGGCGGGGTCGGGTCTTGTATATAATTTCCCGAACCCGCCTTGAACCCGAAGGTAAATTAGTAAAATATATCTAGGTTTAATATTGATATTTAAAATATCTCCAAGTTTTCCCTAAATTCTTAAAATCCTAGGATCCCATAATTTTATTTTTGAATTATCCCTAAAGTTTTATAATTCAATTCTAAAATACCCCCAAATTCCTATATTCTATGTATAAATTGTCCATAAAATAGATATTTTTTAAGTAATTGCCTTGGAGCGGGGAAAATTCGGGGATTCCCCGTCCCCGATGGGGAATGGATGCCTTGCCCCGAACCCGCCTAGCCACTGGGGACGGGGGGGTACGGGGCAAGGTATTGTGACTTCAGGGCGGGGATGGGGAGGGGGTGCCCCACCCCAAACCCGCCTCATTGCCATTCTTAGTTGCAACTGGTTGCAGCAACGGTGACGGAACAAAGAAAGAAAAGAGGGGGGAAGAAGAAGAAGAAGAGAGAAGGAGGAGAGAGAGAGAGAGATCGTCGGTGTCGTTGCCGCCCTGGGCTCAAATCTGCCGGTGCAACTGGTTGCAGCAGCAATGATAGAACAGAGAAAGAAAAAAAGGGGGAAGAAGAAGAAGAAGAAGAGAGAGAGAGAGAGAGAGAGACGTTAGTTTTACACCAATAATTTCAATATATATTTTACATTAACTATCGGTGTAAAAAAAATTCAAAAATCAGTTTTACACCGATATGTAAAATCACACTCTTTCCAAACATGTGTAAAATCGAACCAAGGTGTAAAGTTTACCCCCCACCCCAATCAAACGTGGCCCAACTAAAAAAAAGTTGTAAATGGTACCAAACAGATGTGAAATACAAGAATAGAAAGTTATTGAATTAGATAGATGGCTAATTTATAGATAGAGTTCTAACATACTCGTGCATAGTTGGCCAAGTGGCCATTTAGTTACAGTTGTAATCTTGTTTTGTTATAGCTGTCATCTTGCTCTGTTATACTTCTGATACCCTCCCCTCAAGTTGGAGTTTCAGTGGATACGATGCCCAACGTGGATGATAGATCGATGGATTTATCGTTACTGAGAGGAGGAGATCTGCAGGTTGAGAAGTACTTGGAAGGTGGAAGGTCTGAATCTCTTGCCATTGTATGTGTTCACAGACAAAGTGGCAGTCGATGTCGATGTATTTTGTCCTTTCATGAAAAACGGGATTAGCAGCGATATGTAGTGCAGCCTTATTGTCACAATGCAACTGCATTGGAGATGCAAGAGGAATATGAAGATCAGCAAGGACCCGTTTTAGGCATAACATTTCAGCTGTTGTGGTAGCCATGGCACGGTATTCTCCTTCGGCAAAGGACCTAGAAACTATGGGTTGTTTCTTTATTTTCCATGAAATGGGAGAGCTACCCAACATTGTAATGTAGCCAATTGTCGACTTTGGAATTGAGGAGCAAGAGGCCCAATCGAAATCACATAACCAATGAAGAACAAGGTTATTTGAAGCTGGTAAAAAATGCCATGATGTAATGTTGCCTTTAAGAACCGGAAAACATGGAGGGCAGCATCTAAGTGTTCTTGGTGTGGTTCATGCATGAATTGATTAAAGCGATGGACAACGAAGCTGCGATCAGGCCTTGTTACTGTGAGATAAATAAAGCGTCCTACCAAAACCAAGAGGAATCTGCATATAGACTTCTTCATGGAGATCTCCATGAAGGAAAGCGTTGTTTACATAAAAATCCCAATGTTTTGTCGTGGTTACAGCCAAGAGACATCTAATAGTGACTAGTTTAGCCACTAGTGCAAATGTATCGTGGTATTCTAAACCTTCAACTTGCTTATAGCCCTTAGCAACTAAATGGGTTTTATACCGTTCGACTGAACCATCAGCATTGAGCTTTTTCTTGTATACCCATTTGGAGCCGATGGCTCATTTGCAGGAGGTAAATCAACGATGGGCCATGTTTTGTTTCGCTCAAGGGTATCTATTTCATCAGCCATAGCACGCCTCCAATTAGGATCACAGACTACTGAAAAGAAGGTAGGTTCAATATGGGCAAAAGCAGCATTAAGGTAGGATTGTGGTATTCACTAAGAGCAGTGGGGGTTGGCATGAGTGACGAGGATGAGAAGGTGTAGGAAGTGGAATTGCAGTGGTCTGTGGCTTGTTGCTGAAAAGGGAATTGATCTTCATAAAAAACCGCATCTTGACCATAAGGTAGCCGATGAACACACTGCGAATTGAATGGCATTATTTAATTAATTATCATGCGAATGGCCTTAAATAGAATTCCCATCTCCAAATAGATTCTCTCTTTCTTTCTTTGCCATTGCCTCAGACCTTGTGAGACTTGAGCACCATGCACCTCTCTGGCTAGAGCCCATCTTGCTTACAACTATACCAATGAGCATGAGACTTAAATCATGACAATTTTATATCAATTAGATTTGGATGAAGGGTCAAATATAATTATAAATGAATTGAGCTCGGGTTTTCTAGAATTAATTGGATTAGGTTAAAGTTAAAATTTGGACAAGAGAATACCAATTTCAGCCCTACGTTAGATGGATGTTACAAAACTAAACATGGGGAGGCCTAAGAGAAGTCGTGGGTCTTTATGATGGGCAAAATGGAAATCCCCTCCCTGGGAGAGGTTTCAAGCTAAGACCAGCAAGCCATTCTGGCTTAACAGTATGCATATGTCAAAATTAATAACTTTGGGTAGAAGCGAGAGCAGAGCACCATTAATGGTGTCTGCGGCATATAACCACCGTTTTTATCTCTTGATGGAACCTTGGTCTGCAGTATCCAGTCATGGTTTCATAAATCTAGCTAGCTAGAAAACATATAGATAAACGCTTCCTTAATCCTTCATTTGAACAACGTTTCACGCGTCCAGTCCAAACTCCACATGCAAGTCACACCTCAACACAATTTCTAGCTTTCATTGTATTGCATTATTCCATGCTCCTGGGTCCACCATATATATGTCAGGGTCAGGACCGGAGGAGGAGTCTGGATCGGGACGACAGAAACCCTTTCTCTCACTAGGAAAAAAATTAAAGAATCACTATATAATTATATAAGATTTAAATCATTAATTAATGTAATTCGCTTGGCAAATTAGTTTTATTATTGTTATATAGTCCACCATCCACATGAAAATATCATTATTTACGTTGCTTTGTTAATTATTAAATAATTTCTGCACTTATGAATGAGACATTTTACCATATTTATTTGTGTGAGTTTGGACTATATATATATATAGCTAATTAAAAACGTGATGATTGTTGTGTCTTGTGTGGGGGGGCTGTAAAACCAACGATAAGGTGATAAGAGAGTTGTGAGCCAAGTCGTTGATTGGTTAAACCCAACCCGTTGGACGTGTATGGAACCAATGTGTACCAATGACTGGCTCTTTCGTTCACTCTTGATTGCATGGTTAGGTACACACGTTTTTGTTTTATTTATATATAAAAAACGTTTGTCCAAAACTATCATCTCATCATGTGATAGATACAGAGGAATAAATTAGATTAATATAATCACGTTGCCATTGCAAGTCAGCCATCCATCCATGGTTAACCATAGTTGGTTAGCTTAACCAGGGTTAATTTATTAGGTGGGTTGTCTGAACTATATAACATACAAGCAACCATATTCCTCTATAAATAGAGACTGAACCCACAGAGCTTAGCATCGTGTCTTGGTTCTGTGCCTGAGTTGTTAAACCATTCTTGTGGTCATTTGTCCCTGCAGGTCTGCTGTGAATACTTCTCTTCCTCCCTCATGTATTTTTGTTTTTATTCTTTTGTCTTTACACCGTTATTCTTCAAAACTCTCCGATTTCTGGCCTGAATGTATAGTATAGATCATTAAGATTGCTTGGGTTTGGACTATATGTTGCTGTAACTAGTATTTAAAGCCTATTTGGAAGAGCTTCAGCTTTGATTGAGCTGTGTTGAAGAACGGAAAGTCTATTTATTAGCTGAATTTAACTGTATTTCGGCTTTCCAAGTTTTTCACCCACCATATATACTATATAGCTTCTTACTTCTATATATGGGGGCTCACCTTGCAAATCCAGAAGCTGCGTGCTGCAGCGTCAAAGCCCTCCCAGTCCCAGAAGGGCAGTTATTAAAGTTGGGTTCCTAGCTAGCTTAATCCATCATGAGCTATAGTCAGTCAGGGTAATGCCCGTTCCAACAACAGTCTTTACAGTCTTGCGTTGAAAATATCTTCATAATTATGTAATTTATTTTATGGGATATATTTATAATACAAGATTGAAGGGGCTGCTCAAAGGGTGCAAGCACCGACCTACCCTTCCACCCCTAAGATGACTTATACAAATTAAATTACTTTTCAAGACGTACTCCATAGTATGGTAATTGCATACATCTACTTCAACATTGTTTCATTTTGTCAAAAAAAAAATTTATATTTTCACACTTTAATTTGTTGGATGTATATAGGCAGCAAGCAAAGTCATATATAGGAGATGGAGGATTCATATGAAGTAGCCATTGCTGTACTGGACAAACTCGTCAGGTATATCCTCTGCAAAACACAGTCACAGTTTTCTTATTTTCCAACCGTTTCGATACTATTTCCAACTGTATTAAATACCCCCTAGAATATTGGCTTTTTTTTTTTTTTGCAAAATTTCCAAAACTAAGCTCATGAGCCATTCACCCGTGATTTCAGTTTCGGGCCTACGTCCACCTACGTTGCCTGAATCATGGTCCTAGGAACAGGACCACCATCGTACCAGTGAGGCCCACTGAAAGTCAGCATAATCGCCTAAATTAAATTTTGAACATGTGATGATCCATTTTATTATTTTTTATTATTATTGCTGTTGTTATGGATGAGTGATGGCCTATTTATTTATTTACTTTCTTAAGAGCAAAATAAAAGATTCATTTATTATTATTTAAATGAACATTTGAAATTTTTTTGACACTTGTCCTTTAAAATACCTTCAGCCCACTCTTGAAAAAGATTAAAACCCACTTTTAACATTTGTTAAAATATTTATCAAATGCTTATTTAACATGCTTACTATGTTGTGCCTACTAGATCCGATCCCCCATCTATAATCCATATTCAAAATATTGGAAGGCCCACTTACGAGTTGTTTTCTTGAATCTGCTATAAGGCTTTGACATAGTGAATAGACCGTAAATGAATACGAATGATACTCTCACCTTTGGTTGTATTGGTATCATTGTTGTTTATACCTGAGATCTTTTGGGTTGATCAATACAAATTGGTGAGAAATAGTATTATAATTACATCTTATGCCAGAGTTATTTCAGTTAGAATATTTTAATCTTTACCCCTTCGAAAAATAAACATCAATTTGATATTTCTAGAAATAACTTTTCATACATGCCTATATCAACCATATATAATAATTATATATCAATTTAATCAACTCAGAATAATGTTTTGTTTTAGGTAGAAACAACAATGGTAACAAATATATACATTGTTTGTTTGTATAAATTCATATCAAGGGTATTCCACGGTGATTTGATAGTTGTTTCATCTTAGATGATAGATTTAAAAAAAAAAAAGGAATATAAATCCACCTACCAGTTAGAGGTGTGGAATAGACCTACTGGTTAGAGCGGAGAGGTATGGAAAAAAAAAAAGGTAAATTTCTTAAATTACCCTTATGGTTTAATTAATTGATTAAGTATACCCTTACTATTTGACTTTTTTTAAGGCTATCCCTACTGCTTCAGAAATTTATCAATTGTTGTTAAATTAATATTGATAGAAGGGGTATACTTAGTCAATTAGCTAAGCTATAAAGGTAATTTAAAAATTTTACCCAAAAAATAAAAAACTTTTGTATGTAATTGAAAGGAGAAAAGTCCGCCCAGTAGTTCATCATATATAGTATTTTGGACTGTGGCTCCTTCTTCTATTGACTTTGGCCATGTTTGGGAGTGCTTAAAAATAAGTGCTTATTTGGGCTATTAAGCACTTATTGATATTTTGGAAATAAGCCCAAAATAAGTGCTTATTTTAAAAATAAGGGCTTATTTCTTAAGCCCAAATTTATAGCTTTCTGTAAAGTGCTTATACAATAAGCACTTATTCAATTTTTTCCATCAAAATTTATCCCTAGTTGAATTTTAAAATACCACATATAAAGTTATGTTTAGTTGGATTTTATAAAAGTACTTTTGTGAAAGTGCTTTTATAAAAAAAAATACTTTCAGAAAAGTGTTTTCACAAAAGTACATTTGTAAAAGTACTTTCAAAAAGTACTTTTATAAAGGTGCTTTCACAAAAGTACTTTCAAAAAAGTGTTTTTATAAAAGTACTTTCGTAAAAGTATTTTTATAAAAGTGTTTTCATAAAAGTACTTTCACAAAAATGTTTTTATAAAAGTAATTTAGTAAAAATGCTTTCATAAAGGTATATTTTGAAAATTTAAAAGAAAAATGACAAAATAATCACAAATGCTTATTTAAGTGATAATTAGAAAAAAAAAATAAATAAATAAAGATTACCAAGCGTGGCAAATGCAAATAAGTACTTATTCGAATAAGCACTTATTTTTAAATTAAACACTCCTAAACATGGCCTTAGTGGTGTGCCTTAATTTAGTAGCTAGCTTCATCCTTCAATTCAAATAAATAAAAATAATTAACATAGACTGCACTTAATTGTTGGGTTACAGGAAGAAGGGAAGCATGGAGGCAGTGGCTGCGGCGAAAATCAAGCAACTAACAGCCGAGTTGATAGAAGCTGATGAGGAGGGTACTAAAAATGAACCATCATTTGATGCCTTTGAGAGGATAAAAGGGGGTTTCCTTCACTTCAAGAAGGAGATATTTAAGTAAGCACTAATTAAGCATCCTACTTTCTCATACTGTTATGGCTATAGTTTAAATAATATTGCTTGAATTATATATGTGCATTGTTAACCCTCCATTCATCCAACCGATTGCTTCTTGTATTTTTGTTTACAGTAAGTATCCCCATAAGTTGGAGCAACTTGCCGATGGCCAGAAGCCAAAGGTACCTTATACACTTGCTATCTTAGCTATTATCAATATATCTATCCACATCCCATATTATATATAACACAATTAATTGAATATGATGATGATGATGACGACGAATAGTAATTGATTGCAGTTTTTTGTATTTGCATGCTCTGATTCCCGAGTATGCCCCTCCAATATACTGGACTTCCAACCGGGAGAAGCCTTTATGGTCCGGAATATCGCCAATATGGTGCCACCATTCGACAAGGTCCTCTAATTCTCTTTTCCTAGATCTCTTCCTCCACCTTATTACTTCTGATTGATAATATATAGAGTCTGTCTGTCTGTATGTGTATCTACAGATTAGATACTCTGGAGCTGGGGCGGCCATCGAATATGCAGTGTTGCATCTTCATGTGAGAACTCAGAAATACATGCATTATTAGAAATTTCTCAGGTTTTGTTTTTGGTGTGACTTGTGAGAGAGGGAATTAATTAATTAAAATAAATAATATATATACAAATTCCACAGGTGGAGGTAATCATGGTAATCGGACACAGCAGGTGTGGTGGGATAGAGGCACTGATGAAGCAATCCCATTCCCCTACGTAAGCTTTTTCATTAATTTTGTAATATATATATATATATATATATTATTTACTGAGTAGGGAGTATCGCATGAAACCAAAATGAAGAGGGTCTGCTAGCTGCGCATGCATGACTGCTATATATATATAATCCATCTCTTGCGCGCATGTTGCAGTTATTTCATAGAAGACTGGGTCAAGATCGGTTTGCCGGCAAAGGAGAAGGTGCTTTTAGACCATAGCCATTTACCTTTCGAGGAACAATGCATGTATTGTGAAAAGGTGAGTGCAGACCTACCAATCCAATCTATTACTTAAGGATCCATTTGATTTGCAATCGGAATTGGAATCGAAAAATTGAAATTAATGAAATTTGAAATCAACTGCCTAAGGGAGGGACGAGGAATGGCCATTCCCTCAAATGAGAGAATGTCATTCCATCGGAAATAAGAATGGAATTTAGATTTCTGCGCCCAAAGTTGCCAATTCCAAATCCCTCTTCCCACAAACCAAATGGGCCCTAATTAGTTCATTCACGATTATTAAAATTAAGGGTCTGGAATTGAAATTAATTTAATACTGTCATTGATATACATTAGATTCTAATGCATGGCTTAATGGTTTCAATTATTAATTTTGTAAAATTAATAAAATGTGCATTCTGTAGGAGGCTGTGAACACATCGCTCTTCAACCTACTGACTTATCCCTTCGTCAGAGATGCTGTGCTCAAAAAAACTCTGTATTTGAAGGCCGGCTACTACGACTTCGTTAATGGATCTTTTGAGCTTTGGTCCGTCCATGTTGGCGCTTGTCACCCCATTCTCATTCATTAATATATATTTTAAAAACTTGGCACTTCAACTTCAACCATGCATATATATATATATATATATATATATATATATATATATATATAAACTATCGCCTGCGTGCAATAAATAAATGAAGAGCTAGCTAGCTATTAGTAATTTCCTTGTGTGTGCACTTCATTTCTTTGTTAATCCTGTTCGATTTTGTTAATGATAATACCCCAAGTCTGCGTGCAATAAATAAATGAAGAGCTAGCTAGCTATTTTATCACCAGTGTGGAGCTTTAATAATAATAGGGGTTTTTATGATTCAGTCCACCCCTAAGTGGAGCTAGGATTTTTTAGGGGTGGACTAAATCCTGCCCCGTGGGTTGATGTTAAATTTACGAGTAAGATGTGATTTATAGGAGGGCTATTAATAGATTAAGAAGGAGCTGCAAAAAAGATTTCTGAGGGAGAGTGCAGTTCAAAAATGCCTTAATAATTATTGGTTCCACAGGCCATAGCCTGCTGCTCAGTTCAGCTAATCCTATCTCAAACCCACAACTTTGGGCTGTGCTTGATTTAAAAGAAAAAAGGTAGGGAAATGATACAAACCCTATACAATTTCCCTACGTTTTCTTTCAAACCAAACACATCATATAGATTTTCAATATTTTTTTGTGGTTGTTTATAAGTTCCCACTATTCGATCTTTTAGCAACAGAAAAGTGTCCAAAATAGATCTCTTGCTGTTGACTTGAGGAGAGAACAATAAGGGAAGAATTCCTTTCTCTCCATGAATATTGCTCATATGATACCATCGAATATTCAAGCTGTTTCCCTCCATTCTTCCATTCTACAGTTCGTTAAGAGGTTTCGGCATCTCCAAGGAGCTGGGAGATGGGGCTTTGAGGCTTTGTGAAATTTGGGGTTCTAAGAACCCGTTTTATCAACCAGGTAATGAAGCCAGTTTAAACGGATCATATTTAACCCATTTACGATGACTATACTGTATACAGTATGTGGTGTGGGTTAACGGTCTGAACCCATTTCTGTGTGACCCGTTTAGGACACTATACTCGCTTATCCTTGCCCTGCATGGGTTATGGATAATATTATTAATTAATTCAATCATAATAAAATAATATTTAATAATTATAATTAACTACAACTTGCCACAAATGTTTTTATTATTAATATTATTATTATTAAAAATCAGTTTGCTAATTAAAAATTATTAAAAACTATTATAATGTTAAACTACTCATTTTTCAAACTACCGAGAACGTTGAATTAATTTAATAAACTTAACGATGACTTATAACGTTATTAAAAATAATTATAAAACTAAATAATTTTATTAAGAAATAACAAAGCCTATGCACTAGCTCAGTTTCTATCAATTAATTATTACTTTTTAAACCAAAAAAAAAAAAGAAGCTAGGCATAACCCAAATTAGTGATTTTTCGCTTTGTCATAAATTCTATCGATGTGATTTAATCAAGGGAAAATTCTCGATTAGTACCTTATACTTTGGGCCTACTGCCACTTTGGTCCTCGAACTTTAAAATGCAACAATTTAGTACCTGAACTTTTAAAACATGACAATCCAGTACCTGCCATTAACTAGCTGTTAACCAGCCGTTAAGTGGCATTTGAAAAAGGCACAAATGCCCTTCAAGTGTTATTTAATTTTCTTTATCAACCATCTAAACCTTGACAAAAAATTAACAGTCCCAAATCCTGTTTGCCTTTTCCATTCAAGAAAGTTGAGGTCACCTTTGAGTGGCCATTCTGGTGACCTCAACTTTCTTGAATAAAAGAGGCAATGATCTGAAACTGTTAATTTTATGTCAATGTTTGAATGATTGATAAAGAAAATTAGATGACACACGAAGGGGATTTGTGTCTTTTTCAAATGCCACTTAACGACTGGTTAACAGCTAGTTAACAGCAAGTATTGGATTGTCACATTTAAAAGTTCGGGTGCTGAATTGTCACATTTTAAAGTTCGGGGACCAAAGTGGCACTAGGCCCAAAGTACAGGGTATTAATCTGGAATTTTCCCTTTAATCAAATTAGTGATATTTTGAAAAATAATTACTATAAATTAATAAATAAAACTATTTAGTCATAGGGAACCTACTTAATTAATTTTAAAATTAATTATATTAAATTATTGAATTTTAAAAATGGATAATAAAAACTGTTAAAATTTAACATAATTATTATGAATAATAATAAGTACTTAATTGATAAACATAAAGATAGTTAATTTAATAGGTTTTAATTAAATCATTGAATTCATTTCAAATTTTAAAGTTTCAAATTGATACAACTATATAATCAAAATCTTTAAAATAATTAGTTAGTAAATACATCTAGTTTTAAAATTAATTAATTGTATTGGACTTGAACCAATTCAGCCAATGTTTAGAGAACCAAACTGGATTGATTGGTTTGACCAGAAAAATCATGGCCCAATCTGTTGGCTGGTTCAAATATTAGGCTCTAAAACTAGGGAGTGATAAAATCTGGGTTGGTATCAAGGGCCAACTATTTTTGCCAAAGAAACTCCTTTTTTGGTATCAAATAAAAATTAAAACTAATATATGTAGATAGAATATAATTATATATTTTCAATATATATATGTATGTATGTATGTATGGAGGATAATGTGTTAAATGAGTTTGACCTAAATGATTGAACCAATGACTTGTTACCCAGAGGGAATGACGTTTATACCTCTGAGTTGGTTCTCTAAACATTGGGTTCAATCTAATTGGGAATGTTAAGGGTTCCTTCTGCTTCAACTTAACAAAATCCATGCATTGCATGGTTCTCAACTAGTATTAGTATTAAATTTAAATTGACCACATAATCATATTTGCATTAAGTATGGCTATGTAAATTGTAAAACACATTGACAAGACAATAGAAAACACTGTCTCTATTTAAGCATTTTTTTAGGTCAGTGATTGAAGGAAATTGATAAGGACGCATGTGCCTACCATCAAAGGATACATCTATACCAAAAAAAAAAAAGATAACTATGTCTCAAGGAAATGTTCAACCTAAAAGATTAAAATGTTAAGTGAGGTGATTGAATAAGTATTTATTCTTTAACATACTCCCTTATGTGAAAATCTATTGGGCTTAGCATGGACAAGCAAAGGCTCACCCATACCTTGTACTGGAATTTAATAAATTATAACCGGTCAGTGATGATGATGATGATTGAACATTAGACCATATAGGCTCCCATTTGGGCCAGTTCATTTTTTTATTTATAAAGGGGTAAGTCAACCAATGGGATTATGGTTTCTATTGACCACTTTTCCCGTGTTCATTTTGAATGTTCATGTAGGACCCACAAAAAAATAGATATCACTTACCCTAGAAAGCTTAAAGGTTTTTATTCTTCACACCTCATGCAAAAAGATTATTGGGCTTGAATAGGCATTTATTCTTTAACATACTAACACTATAAATATACTAATCATGAAAAACATAATAATTGATCTGCTACGAGCAAGGACCAAAAGACTTCATCATGTGATTGACGATATGGACCACTTGGGATTCCTGGTTTCTCAACAAGTCAAAAATCCGTACGTACCTATCTTAGTGGTTTGTAAAAGCCTTTCGAGATGATTTTGCTGCATTAAATGACTTTTATTCAAATAAGGTACAATGAATTTTTACCCAACAAATAATAACTTGAACTAATTGTTAGTAAATGGGGTCACTGAGTTTGTTGTTGGGTTACAAGTAAATCTGTTCCTAGGATATAACAGAGTTTTGGGCAAGAATCTACAACCAGCAAAGTTAAAGAATCTTCGAAGAAACCTTTTGTGAGACTGTAGTAGATCGGACTGAGAGAGAGAAAGAAAGTAGATTTCGAAAATGTGTGTTGTTGAAGTCTGATTCATGATCCTTAAATAGTTTATGAAGAGGTATGAAAAAAAGGGAGGTACTGGATCAGATTAATGACAGTTAACTTTGAATTGTGCCTCTTGATCACACTCGATCGAATCGTGACCGTTGATCAGCATCACACCAAAACCAAAGTCACCCTTCATGAGCCACGCAGGTGCGAGCAAAGTGCGTCTTATTGCGCTGCACACACGTGCATGCGTGTTACACGATATCAAACCTCCATACTCTCTTCTACTATTTCTAAGAAGTGTAAATCAATTCCTATTAAAATACTGAAAACAAAGCTTATGATTTTTCAATGTGGAACAAGTTCAAAACCGGATTGGATTTTGTAAGAGAAAAAACTAATTTTCCAAACAAGTGTGCAGGTGCATATTTGTTTTAGTTCGCAATTTGCAGGATTCCGATCACCTATGTACGATAAAAAGTTGGTAATTCAAAACATACTTATCCAGCTACCAGCTAGCAAGATCGTTATATCGGTATAAACCACCCGATTGTTTTATGAAATATGAACTTACTTTAGACTTTAGACTGACTGAAGTAGTACTCTGTATGCTAATCAGCAATTAGTAGAAATGTTGTTGCATCCACTGAATTGCGATGAAATATAGTATTCATAAATTGAGCGGAGGGTTACACAGCAAGGAGTAGTAGTACAGAGAGAGAGAGAGAGAGAGGTGGGGGTGTTACAATCCACGCCAAACAACATCAAGGGAATTCCCATCAGGAATCTCTATTAAACTTGGAGTATTAATGTCTAAATCGTCACTAAGAGACCAGAATGAATTCTCATAACATTCACTCATCGCCGGGTCTTGTGTCTCCAGGTCCAGGGCTTCAAGACTGTTTCCAGAGGCAGAGGCTTCAATATTATTCACTGCGGATCCCACGGCCTTAGAATTATCTTCGTCGCAAATTGGAAGGTTAGATAAATTCGTATGAGTGGAGAGATGGAGAGATTCCCCGGCTTCAACATTGCCTTTTTCGAACAGCGTCAATGATGAGGAAACGTCAACAACCTTGTTCTTTTCCTTTCTGATGCCGAGCTTCTTGCTCAAATGAGTGTTCCAGTGGTTCTTCACTTGATTGTCAGTTCGGCCTGGTACTCGGCCCGCGATTAGTGACCACCTAAAATAAGTTAACAACCACTAAATGTTAGTTGTTAGACCTCGACTCGTTTGCTGCTGCCTGCTGCTGCTGTGGTTCTGTTTATCAAAAACCGGCTCCAACCAGCCGGGTTGCTGGTTGAGCCAATTCAGCTTTAACAACTCTGGTCCACAAAAAAGTTCGACCAGCCAAGGTGGCCGGTTCCTGCTGGGTTTTAACTAGTTGAGTTCTACCTTGTACGTACGCGGTACGTCGGTCTCCAACAATAAATAAACAAGCACTACACCCCTACTATCGCCATATAGTCGATTGCTACAACAGTTGCCGTTGGTGCTAATTGTAAAAAACATCGATCGGCCATGAGTAATCCCTAATATATTTACCAGTAAACTTGACGCTATCCTTATTCCTACTAAGCCTAACTCTGCTTGTCTCTATTATTAACTACTTGATATATAGCAACTGTTAATCAATTAAATAAAAGGAACAGAAACGAAAATGATGAGTTCATCAGCACGTACGATGGCAGCAAGAACAAAATTAAACTCATCGTGCATGTTGATGGTTGGCTTGGTAGAAAAAATCACTTGAAAAGATCTCGGCCGGAAACAGTAATTAATTGATGGTGCAACAAAAAGAAAATGGGCAATGTGGGCAGCAAGAAGCTTGAATCAGGAATAGATCAGAATACAATAAGTTTAGTATAGCAAGTCGAAAGCAGAAAGACCTATTGCCAAGGAGCTTATGGAGTCGAATGATAAGGTCGTCTTCTTCCTCAGTGAATTCGCCTCTTTTCACGTCGGGTCTCAGATAATTCATCCACCTTAACCTGCAACTCTTCCCGCACCTCTTTAAACCTATTAATATACTTGGAAACAACTACAAATCACAACCCATCATCTAAAAACTAAAGTAAAAATATAATAACACCACCGGATATGATTCAACACCAGGTGAAATTAAAAAAAAAAAAAAAAGCGCTTCTGATCACCTGTCATCTTAGCTACACGATTCCACCGCCCTTTTCCATGAACCTTTATGTAGTCTATGAGAATCTTGTCTTCCTCTACCGTCCAGAAACCCTTCTTTTCTTCCATTTGCAAAGCAGACAGAGTTTGGAGTCTCTGGATTCGTTTATATAGGCGTGGTGAGAGGAATGTTGTTAGAACCCTTTAGTGTAGATTTTGAGCGCATGTGTTTGCTGTTGAGCTTCCTCTGCTCTGCATTAAGGTGCTAATGGACAAGTAGCTGTAATTTCTCCATACCATGCAACCTCAGCTTTGTTTGATAGTCATTAGTCAAGCATCTCATTACTTAATTGGGTCTGCTGGCACATTTTCTCCCACAACCAATAACTCTATATATGTAATATGTTGTTGCATGCATGAAAACAATCAACATTAATTTTATATATATGTGTGATATTTTGTATGGTGGAGAAGACACCCTTCGGCCCATGTGGGCCCCCTTTTTTTTTTGTCATATTCGTTATTTTAACCGAAAAGATGCTCAGTTTACTGATCCTACTTTTGTCATGCTCAGGCAGCTACTTTGGTAATAATCCACACATCAGATCTCACTTATATATATGATGATCTACTACTGTTAATTTAAAGGCAGCTAGCTATATATTAGCTATTTCGACTCTGAACAACCATTGATATATAGTTGATACTCATCACATGCCACTCGTCAGGAGGATCGATCTTGCCCAATTATTGGTCATGTTTTTGGGCACTCCCTCTAGTTGGGTTATGGATTATGATATATTGATGCCCAATGCAAGGCAAGCCGTTCGAACGGGCGTTGCCGTGACGGAAGCCAAACTCGTGTGACAGGACCTGATTAGAGGGTCTGGATACACGTATTAGTTTTTGAAAAGTAACTGCAGAAGGGTTAAACTCTTCGCTACATCTCTTTTAGCTTTTAAATTGATTTTTATAAAAATCAAATAATATAATTTATTAACCTTTTGTCTCTCTCTCTCTCTCGATTTTCATGTAATCTTTTTCTTTCCTTCTCTATTACAGTATCTAACAAGAAAAAAAAGGGAAAATAGCTAATGAGGCCTTAATAGGAAGGATCGTGATATCAAATTGATGTTTCCCAAGATATATGTTTTATTGGCAACAAAACTAAACTTGTTGTTTCAAAGTATTGTTTTATTCTCTTTGTTGTAGAAATAGTAGTAAACAGAGGAAGGACAGAATAATCTCGGCATTGCTTCCTTAGATGTATCGGCAAATACATCTTCTTGTCTTTAAAGGAATCACCTTATTCGGAGTGCTAATTTCCACAATTAAGAATTTAGAGGGCACTTGGGCGTAGAAGAAGCATTGATTGCTGATGAGGAATGAATCAAAAAAATTTGAGTTTCAAGGTAACACCATGGAGATTGGAAGTCTGAAATTGGTAAAAGTGGAGAATCTGTTAAGTAGAATGAAGAGATATCTCTAATCTTGCTGGAGTTAAGCCTTAGGAAGAAGAGTTCTTCAAAGTGATTCCATGGCTACCTCCGAAGACAAAAAAACAAAACCCTTTTAACCTGTTAGGTCCATTTGCTTTTTCTCGCTACAATTTCCCTGACATCTTTGCAATCAGATCAATAATTTTCTCATTTTTTACAATTATATCATCTTATCATCTCAAAGTAAACCCGATTCTTCAAAATATAGCAAGATCTTTCCCATCTTTAATTAAAATTATTAGATGAATCAAATAAAAAAAACCAAAAGAACAAAGAAAATAACGAGCTCCCTTTTTCTCTCTCCCCTTTTGCGGTTCAGAAAAAAAAAAAAAAAGTTATATACTCTCCAGGAGGCGTGCTACAAGGCGATTGGGTACCCCCACATTGTAAATTCTTGTCTTCAGCTCAGCTCATCCAGACCCGATGGCCTGAGCCACCGGCCACGCCTCTTCCATCATTAGGTATATGATACGATGCACTCTCTGAGTCTGTACGTTAGGAATAGGATGGCCGTCTCGGTTATTTGATTTTGAATTTTTGATAGACTGATCTGAAACTGAAAAGCTCAGCTCAGACCATGTATTGTAAACGAACGCATTAAATGAGTCGTGGTCCGTCCGTGGCCATTTAATGCACGTTACGAATTCCAATGCACGCGCAGTGGCGTCTTTCATAATTCCATGAGCACTCACTGCACCCGCCTTGTTCTGTAATTCATGCTCGCCTTTTCCAATTTTCTTTCACTGTTACAAAGCATATAAGACGATGAGGTGACTGGTGAGGTGACGTGGTTTTAGAAAGTAAAGCTGTGGTTGGCCTTTCTAGCATTAAATTGCTCAGTTTCCTATATTTCAGCAGCTCGACTATGCATCCGAGAACCCACCACCACAAAAAATCGAAGGATCAGTTTCAATTTCTCTGGCCTCTCCTCTTGAAATCAGAAATTGACTTTCAAAATGTTGCATTGATGGACCGAAACGTGATTCATGACTTTTCCCCCGCTTTTTCTTCTTTAGCAGAAGAGGAAAGCAGCTACTCCATTGAACAGTGACCTCATCGACGTGTGAATAACTCTAGGGATTTTGTTTGGGGTAATAACATATAAGGTTAACTTTTAGGGTTTAATATCAATAAAAGTAATATATTTAAAAAAAGTTTTAAAAATAATATTAATAAGACAAAACCAGTGTGTATCTTCTTCTTCTTGCTATTTATTCATCAGAGCTGCCGCCACTTCCGCTTCCGGTAACGTTGCCGGAGGTGGCGGGGGTTCTGATGAACAAATGGCAAGAAGAAGATAAACAATATTTTTTTTAAATATATCACTTTTATTGATATTAAACCCATTTTGTTTTTGTGTACGTAACTGCGACTAACAGCTAGCAAAAGACCCCAAGTCGTCGTGTATGTTAGAAATTATATAATCTGGTGATTGGGACGCACATTCAATGAACCCGACCGATCACATTGTCAACCCAAGGGTTCAAGGAAAAGAGAACCAGATTGATCTTAATTAAGAACGCAGAGCTCAAGACATACAGTCGCAACAGTACTCGATGGTCATAATATTATGGATTTCAATTTGCAGGTAACAATCAGGCAATGGATAATTGGATATACGGTTATAGTTTCCCATTTATTGTTTACTTTTCATTGGAATACTAATCTTAAATGCCCTTGCACCTTAACAACTTACAACACTGCTAAGCATAACAGGCTCCCTGGGTTGAAAAGAGATCTGAGAGTAGGTTTTTTTTAAGAGAATGGAAAAGTTTCAGCAATTTTAATTTCGTTAAAATTCTACTTCGAATAATCAGTATTTGGAAAATGATCCGTTTCGAGTCAACAAAACAAAATGTTTTGGCTAAACTTTTTAGCTTCAAGAAATAATTTCTTAGAACGAGTTTAGTTTTGAATACACAAAAAGAATTGGCCCCAACATTTTTCATAATTCCAAACTAAGTCCTTCTTAGTTGTCTCATCAGAAACAATTCTCTCAAAACATGCACATAGAATCCTAAATTGTCTCATTTAGGAGCTACTACACGCCCTGAAGAATGAATACCTTGAGACTTGGATACAAAGCAAGAAGTAGCAAGCTGGTAAGTTGTTTTTCCTCTGTATCTGGTTGCAGTGAAATTTTATTTCCATTAGTACAAATGCTTTGGAATGCAAATTCCGGTTTAATTTTGTTTTGGATTTTCGTCTTATTTTATTTCATTTGTACTACAGTCAAATAAAATAAAGTAAATTTTAAAATAAAAATAGATCATAATTTGCACTGAAATCATTTGCACTACCAAGACTTTGCACCAATACAAATAAATTTGCATTACAGCCAAACACAACCTAAGCAAATGCGGTATGCATTGAATGCAACTTTTATTAGGGATAAAATAGGTCAATTTGAAAAAAATTGCTACATAATCCTGATATTTCAATTCTATTATAGCCTATAAGAACCCATACTCCAAATCCACCAAGTCCTATTCATCCACCTAGTATTGGAGGTTTCTCAAATTTATATAAACCTCTCAATCAAATCTTCACCATTCTTAATTATAAAATGGACCTGGAAGTGCTCGGAAGGATGTTTTGCCAACAAGAGGTTTAACATTCCTACGTGGCAATATGTTTTGGGTCCAGAAGGGCTTGACATTTTTATCTTGATACCCTTTCCACTTCACCAAAACAAAGGTATAGTGCTGTGAATACTACACCTGAAAGTTGATATCCCTTGAATAAATTTGAATTTAGAGAAACCCCAAAACAAAGTATAGTGCTGTTAAGACATGGCAAATCCAAGATCACATCTCCGCCCCATAGCACATCCCCGCCGTGTATTGGGGAACATCTCCTGGTGATGACATCATCAGTTCTGGTACTATCATCAAGAGATGTTCCCACTACACAGCGGGGATGTGTTGTGGGGCGGCCCCATGTGAGGCGGAGATGTGAACTTGGCAAATCCAGATGCCCTCTAAGAACCTGTTGCCTCTGCTTGAAAAGCTATAAATCAAACCCAATGCAACATTACCGTTTGCACAAATACTTTTTTGGCTCCGTTCGCTTTTCAGTAAGTTATTTATCCCGGTAAATGCACTTACCCGGGTAAGTGTTTCTCAGGAAAGATTTACCCAAGTAAGTGCATTTACCCATGTTTTTTTTTTATTTCTCATGTCATTTTAGCCATAGTTTTCAAAACCAGACCAGACTGGACAATCGGACCAGAAAAACCGGGAATCGGTCAGGTGATCGGTTCCATTTTCCCCAAAAACCGGATTTCCCCCCAAAACCGTTGATTTTGGTCAGTGAACCACTGAACCGAGCGGTTAACCATTCAAATGGTTTTGACCGTTTTGTTTTTTTTGAATTTCTTTTAATTTTTTTATTTTTTTTTTGTCAACCGTTGATTTTGGTCAATGAACCACTGAACCGGACCCCTGACCAGTTTGATCACCGAGTCGGTTTTAAAAACCATGATTTTAGCCATAAAAATTCAATATTAAAAGGGGCATTTCTATCCCATTCAAGTAGTAGCAACTTTAGTGATCAGCAAGAAAATAAACTTTTCATGATCTCCACATAAATCTGAAAAAAAAAACATGGGTTTCTTGGTCAATAGAAATCAAAATCCCATTGACCAACTTTCTCCCTCTCAAAATCCAAAAAAATACCCCCTTTATGTCAAAAATTTCTTCTTCTTTGTGAGAAATGTTTAATCCCGCTTTAGTGGTTATCACCATATTTAATTATTTTAATGTGTTTTTTTCTCTTTTTCAAATTCAACCTTAACCCTTGCTGATGGCGTGGAAAGGGAAAAAGCCACACCCACATGACACATCCACGCAGGAGGAAATCAAGACTGGGTATTATTAGAGACCATGGTGTTTTACTTTTACCACAGGAGCAATGAGCTAAGAACACATTGGAGGTAGGAGGATCTATACCCTATAGCAATGCCTAACTAGCTAGGTTAGGACTATAGCAATTCCAACTCCAATGTGGTCCACCTGATAAACTCGTTTGGAACATCACATGCACGAGTAGTCGAGTACCGTCTACTGTGTTGGTATTCAACGGTGGTCCGTGAGAGTCATTGTAGCTACCAGCTTTGAGACTGAGAGTGACATAACCTGAAGAAGTCAATGTGGACCTTCACTTCCCTACGGGCCCATACTCTTGCAGTAGCCAACGTTACAAAATAAATAAAACCACCGTACAGACATGTCTCAGTCGTTCTCCCGCCAACTTACGAAGTACCTATGCTGCAAGAGTGCAAATGTAATGTAAAACCAAAGTGAATTTGTACTCTGTTTCGCTCTTGCAATTGTTTGATAACAATACTTTTTGTACTGAAAATCAAAATAAATTTGTTTTTCCCGACAATTTTGCATTCAAATGGAATGCCAGCTTTTCATTCAAAGTTGGTCAATATATAATAGGTAGGTAGATTCCGATCTTAAAATTCGTGTTTGTGTTCATCACAACCAAACATCAATGCAGACCCCAACAAATTTGTATTCGCACTTTTTGACCCAATTTTACCAATACAAGTACTTTTTTCACTCTTTTACCAAAATAAGTCGAAAACAAAGACAAAAGAAATCAAAGTGGACGAAAGACAAAAAAAAACAGACGAAACAGTGGATTGCAAAGATACAATTTCATTTTAGATAAAAATAAATAAATAATATACAAGTTAACTACACTGTAAAATCTCTCTTCAGTAAATATAAAGAGAATGATACTAAAAATTGTAGAATAGGAAAGAAAATGGCAAGGGGGTAACATGAATGAAGCTTTTATTCTCAGTCTGAGTAGCTAAACCCAAGTGTTGCACAGAACGACATGCCAACCATTGTTAGATCTTGCATTCAAATACTCGAGCCTAAATAACAGAGGGCCATAATACCATAAAACTCAGACGGAAACTGCAGTAGTTTAATTCGTCCACCATATCCTAGGACAGAAAGGAAAAGACAGTATGAAGATACTTGTGTTTCTAGAAAGAAGAGCAAAGCAAGGCCAGAAGAGATGAGAGATGGTGCTTACCAACTTCCAACTTATCAACTCGAAGACTGAAATTTCTGCATAAGTTTTTCCACCATGATTCTTTGCTGCACCCCGCTCAAAGATTCTGAGTTCATGATTGCATTTGAGACAAGGATAACCGTGGACGGAGATGCAGCATTGACCTAAAATTCCAAAAGTGAGTTGGTTAGTTAAGCATCTTTACTTTGAATAGGAAAGCTCGAATTTAACTGGCAATCTCAAGGTTGCAACAAGACACCTTCCAATTGCCATAGACTCGTCCTGCCCATCAACAGGTGGTCATGAATTTTAGCAATTAAATGAAAATATGACACAAGAATAAAGGCAATTTCTATGGTACCGGAAAGGTATGGTATCTGAAAAGTTTTAACCAATCAGAAACCCACACGAAATTGGATGAAACACAATTGATTGGTTACTACTTTGATAAATTCCAGTTGATTGGTTATTACTTTTTTAGGCACCAGTACCATAGTGGGGCTCAAATAACAAATAGAAACAAGGATTCTAATGAGATGTAGAAAAGGGCATGTTTTGTTCACAACGATAAATTGATATGGATCCATTGAATCCAAAAGACTCCAATCACAAACCAGATGGTCCTGGCAGTTGGCAATAATGGGGACTTCAGGTATTAATGTGATCCATCCAAATTCTCCACATGAACAGATATCCCCCACGAAGTTAATAAAGAACATACCCAGACTCGGCCATTTAGCCCGATAGCTATCTCAAATGATAGCTTTTTCCCCAGAGCTTCAAGAACCGGACATGTAGGGGAGCTTAGCAACCTAGTAGTAATAAAAAAGAAAAAAAAAAGTGTCAAATTCTTTCTCTACAATCCGTTTGGTGAGATGATAACTTTGAAGCCAATGAGAAATTACATTCGTGAGAGGCCAGTTGATGTTTCAAACATATAGCCATCTTTCAAGACACCAAACTCTGCTGCTTTCCCACTGGCTATTAAATCAACAAGAAAAAATGATTTTCAGAACAATTAACAATGCAGCAAATGGTTGAACTAGATTGTGATGCAAAAGAACTCCTTGTCAATTGTGAAATTGCATTTTTTCTTTTTCTTTTTTTATGGAAGATTCCATAGTCTTGAAAAGCAGAGATATGAAGCTGACAATGGAAAAATATGCATTTATTGTGAAAAGCAGGACACACACAAAAGAGATCTAAATAAAATTGAATACCATCAGTGCATGAGAGCTCAGGATTCATGCCAGCATTTGCTTTGACCACTCGGACATAGAGCAATGTACCTGCCTGCAATGAAGGGTAGAATAATTTCACACTTGACCATTTGGAGTTGAAGAAGAAAGGGAAATACAACTCTAAACATTACAAGCCAGTGAAGCACGTTAAAAAACAAAACAACGAAAATGCTGCAACAATTTCTTGGCCATAACTCCAATGTAATACAACTTTAAATCGGAATATTTCCCTTTTATCAGTATTACAGGGTAGGGAGATAACATGTATCACAAATATCACCCATGGATATCTTCTTTTCATACTTTTAAACATCATTTTCATTTGGGCCTTGTTCTCCCAAAAAATGTGATTGCTTAATTGTCATTAGAATATTTAGTGTTTTCTATAAAGTTAGCAAGTCATCATGGACCATTAAGAAGGGAAAGAAAGATAATGAGCATGGTAGACAAAAAAATCAACAAGATGATCATGAGTGACATAAAGAAAAAAGAGTTGATTATGAATTAGAGAGGATTTTTTGCTAGTTAGACTCCGTCAGTGCTAAAGGAGTTTAAGTGTTTAACAATGCAATGATGAAGTATGGCATTGACATGAGATATGAGCAAAATAAAAGCATCCCTTTTTTTTCTATGCACGTACAAGTTGAGATACCATCCACCATAAAACAAGTACTAGAACAGATTGAGAATCTCTTTTAAGCTTAACCTAGGTTCTCTATTGATGGGCATAATATGACCTGAATAACCAAAGATATACCTCATATTTTGGTATGTTTCTCCTCGTTCCTCCCTCAAAGGCAAGTACAGGTAAAAATGCCAAAGTAGGTCCTTTTATATCCACAAGAAAGTTCTGCACATAGAAAGAACACAAAGAACAAATTTTATCACCCTCTAGTTAACACCTCAGACATGCAGTTGATATGTCGATGACATTTACAAATTGGAAGAAAAAGAAGTAAAGAACGACTTTGATCCATCAAGTAAGTTGAACAAGCACATTAAATAGGTAAGAGAAAGTGAATATCTAAGAATATTGCTTGTTTCACTATCATAGAGTAACAAAGATGTAAAACCAAGTACAGAACTTCATGATATTCTTGAATATGATTTTTCTAGTGTGGCTTTAGTACAATTAAAATAAGACTGGAGAATCCAATGAACCCAGTATATTTGAACTACATGGCACTAGCATCTCAGAGGTATTGTGCCATATGTTCCACTCAAGACCCAAAGAAATTGGGGAAAATTGAGAAAGCATAAGAAAAAACCGGTGTTCAAAGAACTGGATTGGAGTGGCTGTTCCAACTGGAAAATCCATGAACGGATACACAGGCCGGGTTGGTTAGGCTCTAAAAACTAGGGGTAAGAAAAACTGACCATAACTGCCCAATCAGCCATTTCAACCAGGGACCAGTGGACCAGTCCCGGTTTCATAAAACTGGCCTGTTTTTTATTCATATAAATTTCAATGTATATGAAAACTTCCGGAGGAAGATCTGGAGGAGCAAAAAGAAGCGACAGAGGAAGGGAAGAGCAAAAAGGCGATTAGGACTGTGGCGGAAAGAGATGAAGCTAGAGTTTAGGAAGAGGAGAGTGTTCAAGGAGATGCGATTAGTGGGGTTGAAGAGACAAAGGAAATAAGAGAAGAGGAAGAGTCAAGAGGAGACAGAGGAGGAAAAGGGGATAATGGCGTTGTAGAGGAGAAAGAAGGGGAGAAAGAAGCAGGGAATGGGGGAGGGGGAAACGAGGGTGTAGGAAGAAAGAATTGGGGTGGGGTTAATACTTGTAAAAGGAAGAGATATAGAACTTTTCCTTTAGAAGAAAACAGAGAACGGGGAGGGGAAAAAGTGGACTTAGGGGAGGGCTCTGGGGATAACCAAGTTCTTAAGATAGAGAAGAATTATGACATTGAAAAAGTGATAAATAAGTGGAAGTCAACAGAATTCTGGGCTTGTTCCTCTTAGGTGGGGAGGAGTTTGTGAAGGAAGCATTTAGGTCCGTGGAAGAAAGAAATGGGGAGAATGATAATAAAGAGGAGCCAGTGGTTGACTGTAACTCAAGTAATTCAGTAATTCAAGGGATGAAAGGGCCGATTGGAGGATGCAAGAATGGAATCAAGGAGAAGGAAGAAGAATTGGAGGGGGTGAAGGGGTCAGATAGAGGCCACAAACTTGCCGGAAATTTGAAAAAAGCTAAGGGAACCTTAACTACAGCTAGAAGATGCAGATCTAAGAAGAATAGGAAAAGTCAACAGTAGACAGCAGTGTCAAAGGTATTTGCAAGGATAAATGGTTCTCCGTTTGGCATTGGGCCTAACAAGATAGTGAGAAAACATAAAAGTGTAGTCAGAAGACAACAAGAAGTTTGCATCCAAAATTCGAACCAGAAGACTGATTGAGTCGGAGTCGATTAGGGGTTGGGTTTTTGTTTTTGGGTCTTTTGTCAGGTGCCAAGTGTGGGTGTTTGGGGTCTGTAAGGGCATCAGTTTTTGTGCTATAAAGATCGGAGTTTCTTGACCTTTTTTGTATCATTTATATGTAGTTTGTAAGGGATTTGGTTTTAAGGGATTGGCCATGAGTGGGCTGGTTTGGGCTGGCTGGTTCTCATTTCACCTTGTTGGGTGTTGGGTGTTTTCTTGTTTGTTTCTTTCTCCTCGGGTGGTTGATTATCACCTTTCCTTGTATCTTCTTTTTGTTTTAATAAAATTTTTCATCTTGAAAAAAATAAATAAATAAAAACTTCCGGAGGTCATAACTTTGTACTTGGTGGTTGGATTGGGGTGATCTTTTTCTTTATTTTGGGTAACTTTTCAAAATGTATATGTTCCAAGGTGCCTTGCCCCACTATTTTGCCAAAAAACACCTTTTTTGGCCTCAAATCTTAATTTAGTATAAAAATTAAAATTAAATAATATATATGTTATATGAAGAACATAATTAAATACTTTTAATATATGTATATAGTTAATAATATTATGTATATTATATAATTATGCAGATTACATATACATTATATTTTTTTTGGTAATAGAGGAGAGAAACAAAGATGGGCTACACAAGCTTGGGGGTAGCCTTTCCCCAGCAATCAGCAAAGCAAATGTTTAATCAAACATCCTGTCTGAACTAATACCAAACAAACCACTATCAGAACGCCCGATATTAGCCAACCAGTCAGCGGCCATTTTCGCTTCCATAAGTATGAGAATATTGCACATTCAAACTATATCTTCTGAAGCAGCACCCAATAATTTTACTGATACTGTGAGGGGGGGTGACAGTGCCTTTCAAGCAATCCACAACCAACTTAGAATCTCCCTTGATGATGATTGTTGAACTCCCAAATCTAACAGCCAATTGATGAGCTTCAAATGCAGCCCACGCCTCCACTATGTTAATGGAAGTTAAACCCAAAGACCAGCAAAAGAAACAAGAAACTTAAAACTTTTTTGTTGGTATCCCGTGCAAGCCCACCAATTGCACAAGCCCCATTTTGTTTCATAGAAGCATTCAAAATTTATTTTAATAACACCTCTTGGAGCTCACCATTTGACTCCAATCCACTTCTTTCTCCTAGGATCAGCAATCTCACCCCTACAGTGACAGGGATTTGGGTTTAACTCCCATTAACACAGTGGAGGCAAAGGTTAGGCCACCAATCTAACAAATTTGAATTGAACATCTCTGGCATGGGAACTCTAGAGTCAAGTACCATCCAAATTTGTTTGGCAACACGACAATTAAAGAAAATATGATCATGTAACACTGTATCTGTATATTAATATCCATTCCCCTATTTTTTAGGAAAAGTTAGGTTGGGATCTTTTTCTTAAGAAGAAAGCTCAAAAAATTTAACTTTGGGGGAGGGGACACAAGGACCAGATTTTCTTTTTTGCACTCAAAATAGAGTTATCAAAACCATGCTCATTTGTGATCAGTCAATAGTCTGACCTAACCATAAAACACCCCTTTAGGTTAAACCTCCACACAACTTCATCCTCTTTATCTTCCAAGGGAATGGAAATCGCCTTTTGTCTTAATCCTCTTCAAACCACTTTCTGGAACAAAGTTAAGAATTTTCATTTCATTCCAAGTTCTCAAAATAAGATCAATGACATCAGACACCATCATACTAACATTAGTGGGCAAATCTGCATTAATCATCTTGCTTATACTTATAGGTCTGTCATTCCCAGACATCAAACCAGAAATTAATCTTTCTACCATTACCAATTTTGATGCCTAAACCTTTCGTTATCAAGTCTCTTTGATTTAAGATAACTCTCCAATCCCAAGAACACCCTTTTTCGGTTTAACTTCCCAAATTTTGTTATGCAATAGATACTTCTTTACCACTTTGGACCCAAAAGTTATTGGGCTCATTTTAGAACTTCCCAACCAAGTTTCAAAATGGAAGTTTGGTTAAGCCAATCCATTTTTTAAGACCCCAACCACCTCAATTATAGGGGACGTAAAGACTTCTCCAATTACAAAGAGATAAGGATTTTTGAAGTCCAAGAAATAAAAGAAGCTATATTCTCTATGGAAAGATCCAAAGCCCCGGGCCTAGATGGTTTTACGATGGCTTTTTTTCAAGATTGCTGGGAAATTGTGGGTGTTGATTTAGTGGAAGTTTTTGCTGAATCCTTTGAGAGGGAAAAATTCAACTCGGGGGCAAATGCCACCTTTATCACTTTGATCCCTAAGATTTTAGACCCATAAGCCTTGTGGGTAGCATGTATAAAATTGTCTCCAAGGTGTAAGCTGAGAGGATTAAAAAAGTTCTTCCATATTTAATCTCTCCAAATCAAGGGGCTGTTGTGTTTGGAAGACAAATAATAAACCAAGTCCTTATTCCAAATGAGTGTGCAGAGTTTAAAAAACAGAGAAAGGAAAAAGGGCTAGTTTGCAAATTGGACCTGGAGAAAGCCTGTGACTTGGTGGATTTGGATTTCCTTCTAGAAGTGTTAAGGTTGAGAGGTTTTGGAGCGAAATGGTGCAAATGGATAAGGGGTTGTATTTCCTCCTATCATTATTCCATTTTGGTTAACGGAGTTGCCAGAGATTTCTTTCTAGCTAAAAGGGGCCTTCGACAAGGTGACCCCCTTTCCCCCTTCCTCTTCACTCTAATAGCAGATGTGTTTAGTGAGTTGATCTCAAGGGCTGATGCCAACAATTTGATACGAGGTTGGAGAATTGGGGGGAGTAATGTGATGGTTACCCATTTACAATTTGCAGATGATATTCTAATCTTTTGCGAAGGAGAAAGGGAGGAAATGACAAATTTACAAAGGATGGTATCCTTTTTGAAAAGATCTCCAACCTCAAAGTAAACCGGAGCAAAAGTTGTGTAGTAGGGTTAAGTAAGGAGAGAGGAAACGTTGAAAGCCTAGCTAGTTTGTTGCGATGTGAAGTAGGTGAGTGGCCTCTACAGTACCTTGGTCTACCCTTGGGGGGAACCCGACTTTTGTTAGTTTATGGGATCCAATAGTGGAAAGATTCACAAAAAGGCTTGCTGGCTGGAAGAGAAACTACATATCTCTAGGGGGTAGAATAACCTAATAAAGTCAACATCGACTAATTTTCCAATCTATTACCTCTCAACCTTTAGGATCCCCTTAAAAGTGGGCAATAAACCAGAGAAACTGATGAGAGACTTCTTGTGGGAGCCAAGGGATACAAAAAAGGATCATTTGGTAAAGTGGGAGGTGGTATCAAGTAGTAGGGATAGTGGAGGCCTAGGGATAGGAAACATCAAACTTAAGAACATGGCACTGCTGGGTAAATGGCTATGGAGGTTTCCTTTGGAACAAGAGAACTTATGGCATAAGGTAATTGTAAGCCTTCATGGCAT